CAAATGGAATACGAAACTGTATTTTATGACTAAATGTTCGAAAAGATAAATTCTTCCTGTCCAAGTTGAGTTTATCCCAGAAGTGAAATTATGGCTTAATATTAGAATATTCATAAATATAATTCACTATATTGAGTCTAATGGAAAAAAAATTGTGAAATTTCTCTCAGTCAAGTCAGAAAATCCTCCTCAGATTTCAAAACCAGAACCATGAACTAATTTAACCCTTCACCCTACTCCGAAGTAGGAAAGGAGTCAAAGGAAACCCTTTAACCTAATACTCGGACTCTAACTCCTAGTCAGTATAGTAAGATAAGACAAGTAGGAGTTGAAAATGTAAAGATTGAAAAGGGAGAAAATCAAGCTGACATTATAGCACTCTAAGAATAGCAAAAACAAATCCTATAGAAAAACTATCAGAAATAATAAAAATTATCAGTAGTATATATAAAAATTACATTTTTTAGGCTGGGTGAGGTGGCTCATCCCTGTAATCCCAGCACATTGGGAGGCTAAGGTGAGAGGATCACTTGAACCCAGGAGTTCAAGACCAGCTTAGACAATATTGTCAAGACCCCCATCTCTACATAAAGTAAAAATTACCTTTTTATATGTTATAAAACAATAGAAATCACAATTTTTAAAGAAGGCACCATTTGCAATAGCAAAAGAAATGTAAGGTATAGAGAGTAAATCTAACAAAAATGTCCAAGACCTGAATGGAGAAAATGAGTTTTTTTTCTAAAGGCTTTTTTAAAGATCCAAGTTAATAAAAAGCCACATGCTGTTCACAGATATAAGACTCAAAATTGTGAAGATACCAATTAAAAATCCTTATAGTCCTTTTCAACAAAACTTAACAAGTCTATTCTAAAATATAGATGGAAGAGCAAAGGCCCAAGGACATAGAAAACATTCCTAAGTAAGAAAAATAAGATGTAAGCCATAATAATTTAAATAGAGTATTATTCTTAAAGACATGGATATATTGATCAAATGGACTAAAAGAGCCGTAAATCAACACACATGTGCCAATTGAAATCCAAAAGAAGTGACTTTGCATATTAATGGATAAAGGATGGGCAAAAATGAATTGGATCTCCACCTCATACTGTTCAAAAATGTTGATTCCAACAATGAATGATTGGATTTTTAAAATGTGGTTTATATACACAATGGAATACTATTCAGCCTTAAACGAAAAAATGGAAATTCTGTCATTTGCAATAACATAGATGAAACCAGAAGACATTATGTTAAGTGAAATAAGCCATTCACTGAGAAACAAACACCATAATATCATCTCGCTTACGTGTGGTATATGAAAAAGTCCGACTTACAGAAATTGAGAATAGAATGGTGGTTATCATTCTACATCGAGGGTAAGGGGGTTGCACCAAACTATCTGGCAAGTAACACTCAAAGAATTTCTTTAGGCAAAGTGTAGCTGAAAGTAGTTGGTGGCAGTGCAGTTTATTTGCCTGTTGACTAAATATAAAACAAGGTCAAGAAAAGATGATGTTTTTAAAAAATTTTTGTCTTATAGCCAATTATCTTTATATCTGGCTAACCCTTAACTTTTCTTTCTTAATTCAAATTTAGGATGGAAGTCACTGAGAGGCAGTCACATCCAAAATAATATTGTTCTCTTTTAATTATTAAGCTTTTCTGTTTTAAGCTACTTTTACTTCTTAACGTTTAGAATAAAAGAAAATCTCAAATTACTGTTTGAACTGGGATATTAGTCTCAGACTGAACACCTATTTCTGTGTTCTCTATTGATATTTTTTTCAACTAAAATTCTTGTAATAGTTATAATATCAGAATATGCTATGTTTTAAATTAAGTAGGTTTTTAAATGAAAATCAATAGTGCATTTTTCATAAAACAAAATAGGTTTAAGTACCTCTTCAGACCTTATTTCTAAATGTAAACATTGTTTTTATAGGTCTTAGAAAAGTAATTTTGACTTTTTATTACCCATGGGAATGCTAAAAGGGCGTGGCAATTGTATCTGATAGCAGATGACCTATTATGTACTCACATTTAAATGTATTCAGTCATTAGAGTAGAAAATTCACATCAGAAAATGTTATACCTTAATTAGACTCATAAATAAGCTACATGATATATTATTTATTTATTGTAGGTTCCTCTTGTTAATTGCTCTCAAGCAAGAAATACAATTTTGATTCCTGAATATTTGCTTATCCTTTCTCTATCCCAACCTATCTTCTTACCCCATCTCCCTTATAGATACATAGATACATGAGTATGCATGCACACACACATACAAATATACACACTTGTCTTTGAACCCATGATTGTCTTCTCCTACCATTCTCATATTGTGTGTGTGTGTGTGTGTGTGTTTGTGTGTGCGCGTGCGTGCGTGCATGTGTGATGGAGTCTTGCTCTGTTGCCAGGCTGGAGTGTGGTGGTGTGATCTTGGCTCACTGAAACCTCCGCCTCCCGCCTCCCAGGTTCAAGTGATTCTCCTGCTTCAGCCTCCCAAGTAGCTAGGACTACAGGTGTGTGCCACCATGCCCAGCTAATTTTTGTATTTTTAGTAGAGGTGGGGTTTCACCATGTTGGCCAGGATGGTCTCAATCTCCTGACCTCGTGATCCACCTGCCTTGGCCTCCCAAAGTGCTGGGATTACAGGCATGAGCCACCATGCCCCGCCTCTTATGTTGATTTTTATTACAACTTTTGTCTCATTAGCTGCCTCTTAATATACATGACCATAATATGAAGCAATATGGTAGAAAACTACTGACTGTAGCTAGCTTTCAAATCTTGCAACTTACTGCCTCTTACTACTTTTATTGCAGTAAACAAGTATTTAACCACTCTGGGCCAGATTAGAGAATGCAGAATCCACTTTGAGAATTAAAGGGATTGCATAATAAAGTATCTAGTATTGCAGCTGGTATTTTATAGCTTAGCAATAATAACTGTCATTTATATATGTCAAGAACTGTGAAGAGTTTGAGAGTTTACCTACTAACAGGCTAACAAGTTAACTTGACACCATTTCATTCATTTGGGGTCAGAGACAAAGAATTCTTTGCCACTCACACAATAACAATAGCCAGATTAAACAATTTTTTTTTTTTAGGTTTCTGAACCCGTACTCCCACAGGGCTATGTGAAACGGACAGATGACACTTGCATCCATAGTGGTTTGTGTCATTGGAGGGAAATCCTGAATTTAGGGAATGCAGTCTTTTATAATAGGTAGTAAGACTGTCTGGCCTTTGCTCCAGTTTATCATTCTGGGCAGTAACAAACCCCTTAGCTTAGGAGGGAGACACTACATCTGTCTTCAAATACTGTTCATTATGCAAATATCTTTGAAAAGATAGTTCAAAACAAAGGTGCTTTGTTGGTGCTTGTATCTCAGGGTACGTAGTTTTGCACTTGTCTGCTTGAAAATCTCTAGTCATTTTCCAGAAGCATTAAAAGAAAATCCAGCCTCTCTATCTTGGCCTAGAAGACCTGAGGGATCAGGCCTCAGCATACCTCCCTGACCTCATCTTATACCTTTATACTGGCTTTCTTTCTGTCTCCTAAACCCACCAGCAGCCTTTGCATTAGCAGTTCCCTCTGCCTGATGTGTTCTAGATCGTCACTTACCTAGCTCCTTGACATTCAAGATTCAGCTTGAATCAGAGTGAGACCTTATCTCTCTACCTAATGTAAAGTAACCTCTCAGGAATGCTATCACAGCACTCTTATTTTATTGTTGTTATTTATTGTTTATCTCTGCCTCCTGCGATACCCTACCATATAGAATGTAAACTTATTTTAGTGTCCTCTCTTATGCACTCTTCCTTCTCCCCTCTCTACCTTCCTTTCCTCTCTCTTTTTCTTTCTCCTCCACTTTACAACAATACTATTTAGTAGTTTCTCAGTAAGTATTAATTGAATGGATGGATGGATGGATGGATGGATGGATGGATGGATGGATGCATGCATGCATGCATGCATGCATGAGTTACTATCCCCTCTACTCTATGCTTTTCGTTTCTTTTTGTTGTTGGTCAAAAATATTAAACTTTATTATTTGATTTTTAATGAAGAACTTGTGCTAACTCTAGGGTTAAAATAAAGAATGCCACAGTAAAGAAATAAAAGCCTTCCCCCAAAACAACATAAACCACCTACTTGTTATAGTTTAATTACACACTTTTCTATTTAGTACCAGTGGTGATAAACTTCCAGTGTGTTAACCTGTTTGGTTTCATTGATGTTTAATATAATGTTACTCTCTTTGTTGGCACTTGAAAACCCCATATTTACCTGCTAATTCCCCTTAATGCCACATGAGGGGCATTTCTTGATGTGTGTAACACTTAAGAAGTAAGAAATTAAACAAATAATCACATATCTATTGAGATCTTCTTATTATTAGCATGTTATTATTAGTTTTGATCAATAGCCAGTGGACCTGGCTTAGAAATGACAAATATTTCTTTAGTTATCTTTACGATATTTCTCTATATGAGAAAAATTCATATATGATTATAATAAAAAGTAGCCACTACAAGATTTCACTTCTTTTATCATGTTTTTAATTTGATAATTTGTCTTGTACTTGATAATTTGCTTTGCAAAGAAGATATGGAAAACCCTAATTCAGTTGCTAGACACTTTTGGAAATGTATATGGTAAAAGTTTTGATTTGTGAATTAAATGCTTGTTTTATTTTCAGTTTCTGTCTCCCATCTCCCTTTTAGTTAGTTAATTCCATCAAGATGTAGATGTTTTAAAGATGCAGGTTTAAGTTTAATAACAGTTGTATTTATAGATACATAACATATTTAACGAGGGTTTCTGTGCATACCTTTTAAAAGAATGTATTACTAACATAACTCTCCATTATCTAAAAGATAATCATGTCTCTACCTTAAGTATATTTTCAAATAGATAATTTTCCATTTTGTGAGGTGAATCACTGGTTAAAATTGATCATTTTTCAAAAATTTTTGTAATAGCAAGCAATAAAGGAGAACATCAAAAAAAGAGAAGCAGAGGAAAAAGAAAAACGTGCCAGAATAGCTAAAGAATTAGCAGAGAGAGAAAGACTTGAACGCCAACAAAAGAAAAAGCGTTTATTAGAAGTGAAGACTGGTGAGTACTATCAAATTTGCTATTTATTCTATGTATACTTAAGATTTATACTGGCTGCTTTATTAGCATATTAATGAACTTAGTGAAAAATGAAAATACAATCACTTGTTTCTGTAATTAAACCACAGAACAATTGTTTCTTTATGGTCTTTTCTCCCTTCCATTTACTAACAAGTAGTGTAGTGTCTTCATTCTAATGGTCATAGGTGATTTGGTCCTCTGTTATGCTGTTTTGCTTCCAGCATATTCACGTTTCTTTCATTACTAACTCAATAAACAATCTTTAATAATGTATGTCAGTTAATAAAGTAACTATCAGAAAATGACTGTGGAGAATTCTATAGGACATGTAACCTGGTTTCTTCAACAAAATATCCCAAGGGAGGGAAAAAAGTGATGGAGGATAAACATTGTTTAAAAGAAAGAGACTTAAGTGAAATATTAGCCAATTGCAATGTATGGAATTTATGTGTATTCCAATCTGTGGTCCCAGCTACTCAGGAGGTTGAGGTAGGAGGATCACCTGAGTCTGGAAGGTTGAGGCTGCAGTATGCCTTGATCTTGCCACTGCACTGCTGTCTGGGAGACAGAGTGAGATTTTGTTTCAAAAAAACAACAAAAAGAAAAAAGCAGTCTGAACATTTTGGATACTTTTTTCCCCCTGTAAACATGACAAAATTGTTGTCAATATGTTTCAAAGTATCTTTTAGAGTCTGGTACTGAAATTTTACAGAAACATATGTATATATGTATTTCAAGAAGCTAAAAGATACCACTTATTTAGAAGCAAAAGAATTATGTAAAATGTAGTTATATTTTCATTCCCTGAAAAATTTGGCTTTTCTACTTCCAAGTCAGTAAGGATTGAACAAGGCTTTAATTAAAATCCATCCGCTTCACTGCTAAATCACCATAGTTTACAATTCAGGGTTACAAATTCACCTCAGGTTTCCCCAGGAATAGACAGAGATGCCTACTTTGCCTTCTTTACTTTCATTTTACAGGTATATTTTGTGCTTACTAAAGTGAACGGAGTACCTTAATGTATTGCACTTGTTTCTTCCTGGGAAGAAACATCATCTAAGCACAATTTCTTGTTTATATTTGAAATTCAGGGAATATTCTCAGAATTATTTTTAAATATGAATGAAAATGGAGATCAGAAAGATTTAGTATTTATTTTTAAAATATGCTTCTGGAAAGAATTTTAAATTGATATATTATTTCCTAACTTACAGAAGATTCTGGTGTTTGAACATTAACTCTTTATTTATTTATTTATTTGTTTTTGAGATGGAGTTTTGCTCTTCTTGCAGAGCCTGGAGTGCAATGGCGCGTTCTTGGCTCACTGCAACTTCCACCTCCTGGGTTCAAGGGATTCTCTTGCCTCAGCCTCCCGAGTGACTGGGATTACAGGGGCCTGCCACCATGCCCGGCTAATTTCGTATTTTTAGTAGAGACAGAGTTTCACCATGTTGGCCAGGCTGGTCTTTAACTCCTGACCTCAGGTGATCTACCTGCCTCAGCCTCCCAAAGTGCTGGGATTACAGGCATGAGCCACCACTCCCAGCCTGAACATTAGCTCTTTTAGCATTGGCTAAAGTTATCTAGATGAGTTGCTAGATGGCAGATTGGATGCATTGTTTGTGGGTTTTGCCCAGAGTCTGATCACACAGAGTGTCTCAGTCATTCTCTCTTATACCAATTTGAAAGATTGAAACTTGATAGGGCACAGAAATTCTAATAAAACTTCCAGTGTCATCTCAGTAATGTTTTAATTTAAATTTGTGTCTCCGTAAGGAAATTTTCATTTTTAAGAATGAGTTTATTTTTCAAATTTATTTACATTATAGAAAACACCTAAAAAAATAGTAGATCAAAAGACTGTTACCCATAATCTTCCTATCCAAAGAATCACTGTAAACATTTCTGCACACTGTTCTTTCAGTTTTAAATTTTTCTGCTTTCTAATAGTAGCTATGCAGTTCAGTGTCACACTTTATATTGCTGAACTTTTGAATGTTTCGTGTTATTAATAACTTGTAATTCTTATAATTTTTAATATCTATATGATTGATTCCACTGGATGTGCCATATATAATTTAACTTGCATTAGTCAGTAATGAAGTCATGGAACAATAGTTATTGCTGATTTTTCAATGTGATTAATCTTTTTATTCATAAATAGAAAATAATTATTTTATTGGACATGGACTAGAAAAGGATATTTTTAAGACTTTTGATGCATACTTAAAATTGATTTTCAGAAGCATAACTTTAATTTTCTCAACTTTCAACATTGAGTTATGATTGTGCCTTGGTTGAATATTCTTATTTTTTAAAGATTTTTGCTAATTTTATAGATTTTAAATTTATGTTTTATTATCTTAATTTGCATTTCTTTGAGTATTACTAAAGTTGGACTTTTAAGAGGGTTTATAGTTCAGTTTTCGTTCCTCTGTCATGAATTGTGTTATCTTTTTTTTATTGATTTGTACAAGTTAGCTCAGTATGTATTCATATTTACATTTTAAATATCTCTTTCTAGTGTGGCTTTTTTATTTCTATATCTTGACATATATAAAACTATTTTATTTTCATTCTATGATGTTTTAATATTTGCCTTTGTTATTTTTTTCTATCACCTTTAAGTTTATAAAATCATCCTTTCAGTGATTTCACATCAACTTCATTTCTTTTCTAGTTTTGATTATTTATAATATGACTCTATTCCACTTATTTATAATTCTTCCTTAATTATTCATATATTTGATAGATAGGTTTTAATATACTAGGATCTGTTTCTGAATTTTACCAAAACCATTCTAACATTTAGCCATCAATTGTGTTTAATAGCTGTTTTATGTTGCTTTAAAATAGGTAATTTTATGTTGATGATATTACCTTCTTTTCTTAATTTTAAAATAGGCTTGAATGTTTTTAATTTTAACAACAGATTTACAGAAAGATTTTATTATATCTTTCGTTAATCATAGAGCCCATCTTATTTGACCTATTGGATTATTTTATGAGACTTTTTCTGTACTATCTCTTCCTAAACATGGTCTGCAAATTGTCATAGGTGGGCCTCAAGTAATTGCAAAATCCTCACCCAATAGGACTTTCCAAACCTCTAATTTGCTGAGGTGCATATGCATCATACATTTTAACATTTTTCAGGAGTGCCCTCTGCAGAGCATAGTCTGAGTAACTTTGATTTATATAAATGATATTAAAATAATTTTAAATATATTTGTAAAATAAATACAGATATATGCTGTATCTATATCATACCTATGAATATGCTATAGATGTAATAAAACTCATTTGATACAAGATGCTGAAACAGCTATGATTTAAGAAGCTACTGTGAGACTTTGTCTTTTAAAAACATTTGAAATTTTTGCAAGTCAACTTTCAGTTTTTTTTTTTTTAGACTGTGGGGTTTAAAATAATCTAGGGATAATAGCCCAAATTTCATAATATTTGTAAACACATAATTTTCTCACTAAAGTGAAAGACCTCTTCTAAAATCCCAATAAATTATGATGATTCTGAATGGTCCTTAGTTTTCCTTTAAAATCAACACAATTATTAACGTAGAAGAACCAAGTATTTGATTTCTTAAAGTAACTGTTATTACCAAGTGAGTCATATAATCATATAACAAATATATTATTACATGCTTATTTGTTGATAACTTTTTCATTTTTAAAAACATCAAAAATATACAATCACCTTTTTTCCATATTATATGTGGAATATGCTTTTTGTCAAGTCATGATTTTTATAACATTTGAAGGCTTTATGAAATGGAGGTTACTAAAGTAGTGTATCTAATTTAGCACTTAATTACTGAAAACATGTAAAATATCACTTTTTTATACTTTTAAATTGATACATTGAATTTTATCCTTATGTGATATTTGACAAATATGATCTTCAATAAAGACACTATACTATTATAAAAATACGTATTATCATTTCTATTATTATTTTATTGATAAAAAACGAAATACAGCAAGGCCACTTTTTATTGTTCTTTTATTCATCAAGTTTTTTTCTATATGTTGAGATTACAGTGATAAATAAGAATAAAAATGTTCCTGCTGTAATGAAGTTTAAAATTCTAATGAATGCTTCAAATAACCAAATATAAAATAATATCAAATAATAATTTATAGGAACTAAAATAAGAACGATAATGAGATGGAGACTGCTTAGGCTGGTGGCAGTGACAAAATTTGGTCTCAGAGAACTAAGGAGACTATTAGTATATATCAAACTTTCTATTTTAAATATTGTTTAATAAAAATCCTCAGAAGTTGATTAAGATTTATATAATCAGTGTATGTGGTTTTCGGATAACCAAGCTTATAAGCTATTCTATATGTGCTAATATGGTGTATATTTTAAACATTGTGAGGATCAGTTGAAACTTTATGTAATTTTTCTCCGCAGGTGTTATATTTTAGTACAGAATATGGTACTGCTCAAATCTTTGTAAAAATTTTTAGCCTGACTTTCTCAGCCTTGAAAGAATGTGGAAGGGTGAATTATTGAATTTAGTTTTGTTACCTCACTGAGCCAAGAACTTTTTGTTTTAGTTTATTTTCGTATGTAAGACACATATCCCTGGATGGTAGAGGAAGAGAAAAATCTTCACATAACTCTGCCATAAACCCACAGGGAGCTTCCTTCCATATATTTTCATGACTTTAGTATTTCCTCCATGCAAATAAGAACTGAATTTTTTCACAGGTGTTGAAATTCTTATATCACTATCTGAGGTAGCAGAGTAAATTAAATTCCTGTTCTTTCTTACCCACAGTAAATCATTACTTGCCGTTGGCAAGAGAACAGGCAACTATTTCCAAATCTACTATTATTTATTATCACTATCATTTCAGAATGTGACTTTCGTTAATAGAACGAAAATAAAGGTAAAAATAGTGGACTAAATTTCTCCAAGAAGAAAAATGAAGCATTAAAAATCCTTT